AACCCCTCAGCAAGAGCTGAGCGGGCGTCACGGAAACTTCCCTCCCGAGTAAACAGCCGCCCCCCACCCCGCCTCCACCCCCGACCCTGAAAGCGTAGCCGAGGTGGTGTAAGGGCCAGAACTCCCCAGCGGTTTGCTGTCCCCCTCGCGGCCTTTACCTCTTTGCGGAGCGGGGGTTGGCCGGGCGCCGCGGCCCGCAGAGGCGCAGGCACGGTGCTCGCAGCCTCAGTCCCGGTTCCGATTGCAGGACCGGGACTCGAGGCAGCAGTCTGGCCCGGGACCGCCTGAGCTCCCGTCTGGCCCGTCGCCAGGCTCCGGCTACTCTCCAGACTCGGCCGGTGCTGCTGATACTGGTGGAAGCGGCTGGGCAGCTGCCCTGCCGGACTGGCCCGCACCTTCTTCTTCCGCCGCTTCTTCGGCGCGGCCCGAGGGGCGCCTCCCGCCGCGACGAGGCTGCAGTTGGGCAGAGCTGCTGGAGCGCGAGGCTGTGGGGTCACACAGGGCCCGTCGCCCCCGAGGAAGTGCGGGAGGAAAAGGGTCGGGGGCAGTGCCCGGGGGTCCGGGATGCGGGGTAAAGGCGGCGGAGCCGTGGTCACCATCGGGAGGGCCCCGAAGTAACCGCGGGCGGAAAAGCCAACTGGCGCAAGGCGGCTACCCACGACGAGCGGCTCCCGCTGAGGGACAGAGACGACGGTCATAGTGCTGGGATGCAAGTGGCTCAGCAGGAAGAGAAGAAGGAAGCGAAGCCAGCGATCGCAGGGTGGCGGCGGCGGATGCTGCTACAGGAGCCGTAGAAGATCGTAGATCATGACTCGGGCTGTGGCGGCGCAGCAACAAATAGCCACAGCCCCAGCTCCGAGTGTTGTTATCGGAAGCCCCGCCTTGGGGCCGCCCACCTCCCCGTATGAGCCCAACCAGAGGGCGACCGGGCAGGCCCCGCCCCTAGGCCCCGCCTCCGCGGCTTCGTAGAGACGCACAAACAACCAGTTTGCTGCAGCCCAGCACAAAGAGCGCGCACTGCGCAGGCGCTGCTAACGGGCTGTTACGGGTAGAGTTGGTCCCGCGAACAATGAAGTTGGGTTTCAGTCCCACCACCCCCACCCCTCTCTGGGCTGGCGTCCTTGCCACTGCACCTTGTGCAGCTAGGCTCAGGTCACACGGAGAGATCCTAGCGGAATTCGGTGGTGGAGGAAGGGAGAAGGGAGGGATAGGGGCGGGCAGGAGGCAGGGAGGGGAGGAGGAGTCCGCCGGCGGCCAGGCCTTGGGTGCCTCCTCAGCTGCTGACCTTGGGGAAGTGTTCGTATCAGTTCAAGCCCAGCGTAATACCGTTATCATTTTTTCTTAAAAGTTTTAACGTAAACCATAAGAATTTCTTGCTTAGCAATAGTGACTAAAGTCAGGCTACGTTTAAATTGGGTTTAGTGAAATGTGCTTCACATTTCTTTTACTCGGTTTTGCAATGCTGCTTATCACGTCTGATGAGGAGAATTGGAATTAAAGGAGTGTCTGAATGGCTCTTTACTATACAAAAAGTTCTCCGTTAATACGAAATTATACCGCCGTGGTACTTGAAGGCCTGTGAGAGTTTGGGATTGTGACACCGTAACTGATACTTGAGATGCAAACAAATTGACTTGTGTCAAAGGGAGAAGGTGAAACAGCTCTGTAACTTGTGATGTTGTTTTGTTAGCTGTGTTTTGATGAAAATCTGTCCTGATCTCCCTGCTTTGTGCTCACCCACATAAAGCTATTGTGACTATTATTTATCAAGCAATTAATGTTCCAGGAGGTCTTTTTAAATTATTTCACTTGAATCTCACAACACCCCTTATATGTGGATACGGTATTTTATCCGCATTTTACAGGAGAGGAGACTGAGAATTAGGAAGGCTAAAGAACTTGTCAAAGATCATACTGTGAATTAACATAAGAACTTGAAATTCAGTCTAAGTCTGGCAAGACCAAAGTTTTTTTTTTTGTATTTGTTATGTTTGTTTGCAAAGACCAAAATTTTAACATGAAACCGCGATGGTCTTACAGGTCTAAGCATCCTTACAACCTCTAACTGGTATTTTTTAGCTTTGTAATGTAAGTACCTAAAATGAAGCATATATTTTATAATTGATAGCAAAGTTGAGCAGATTGAATATCCAGAAAAATGTTTCCAAATAACTTTAAACTTTTTGGGGGGAGAGGACGGTCTCATTGTATGGCTATGGGTAGAGTCCCCTGGCCTGATCATAACTCACAGGTTTTATATACCATTTGAAATGTTTTCGTCAAACAGGTTAACATAGCCTTCAAAGTACTATTTTTAGTAGAGACCTGTCTCTTATTCAGGCTGGGGAGCTGGTCCCATAGAAAGCCTTTTAATTCAAACCCTCAGCTCTCCCAATTGAAGTTGGATTTAGAAATCAGTCAGGAGAATGGCCAGGCCAGGGGCAGGGAAGAGCAGGCAGAGATTATTGTTGAACTTCTGGTGTGGCAGTAATTGTTCTTTTTTTTTTTTTTTTT